GCAGACTTGACCTGCTGGGCTCCGGCGATCCTTCTGCCTCAGCCTTCCAAGTAGCTGGAACTACTGGCACGCGTTACCACACCCAGCTAATTTTTTGATTTACTGTAGAGATGAGGTCTCGCCAAGTTGCCCAGGCAGGTGTCAAACCTGCGGGCTCAGGCAATTCACTCACCTCAGCCTCCCAAGGTGCAGGATTACAGGCTGAGCCACCGAGCCCGACTACTCCCTTTTGTCTTACTCCTTCTATCATACTTTATTTTTCAAGATCTTCTCATACGATACCTCCTTTATAATACTTTCTCATGTCCCATAGACAGAAAGAGGTGTTTTTTTTTCCCCTACACTATTGCAGCTTTTACCATGCTGACTTTCTGTTCTGTTTCTGCTGCCTTGGCAAGATTAATCCCTCCAAGACCAGAGACTGGATCTTTCATCTTTGTATCACAGTACCAGGCATATGGTTGGTCTGTTCAGTAAATGTATGTCAAATGTTAAACAGTACACAGTAAGATCAAATGTTGGTCATGCAAAGTGTACTTGGCCCCATTTCACTTTTTTTTTTTTAAGGCAGGCTCTCGCTTATGTTCAGGCTGGAGTGCAGTGGCACAGTCATGGCTCACCACAGTCTCAACCTTCTGTGCTCAAGCGGTCCTTCCACCTCAGCCTCGCAAGTAACTGGGACTATAGGCATGCACCATCAGGCCCAGCTAATGGTTTTTTTTTTTTTTTTGTAGAGATGAGGTATCTCTCTGTTGCCCAGGCTGATCTCAACCTCCTGACTCAAGCAGTTCCTCCACCTCGGCCTCCCAAAGTGTTAGGATTACAGGCATGAACCACCATGCCTGGTCCCATTTCATTTTTAAGAATATACCAGATAAATTAAGATCAAAAGAGGCCAGGCACAATGACTTTAATGCCAGCACTTTGGGAGATGGAGGTGAGAGGATTGTCTGAGCCCAGGGAGTGGAGGCCAGCCGGGGCAACTTGGCAAGACCTCGTCTCTACAATAAATCAAAGAAATTAGCTAGGCATGGTGGCATGCCTGTGGTCCCAGCTACTTGGAAAGCTAAGGAAGTAAGATCACCTGAGACCAGCGGGTTGAGGCTATGGTGACTGTAAGCGTGCCATTGCACTCCAGCCTGGGGACACACTGTGACTCTGACTCACAAATAAAAACAAAACAACAAAAGAACAAAAGACATGTTAGAAATTGAAAAGTCAGTGTTTTGAAACAAACTGCATGTTTGGAGCCAGTTTTGTTTTTTTGGTTTTTTGAACCAACTGTGCTATTAAATATTGAATGTTTTTAAATCTCTTACTTTTCATTCTTCGTGTCATCTGTTTTCCAAGAATCTTAGTAAACAATCTGATATTTGTTAAAAGGCATCATTAATTAGAAAGTACCTGTAAATTTTTTGATACTCAGAAAATGGGAAATATAGCATATAGTGTATCAAACTTCCACTTACTGGTATACAACAGTGTATACCAGTATTTTTATACCAGTATACTATTTAATTTAACAAAACAGGTTTTATGATAAAGATGACTACCTCAGAAGCTGAACATACTTACCATATCTTTCTACCCTCCTGATATTTTGCAGTTGGTCAATCTGGTCAGCCTCCATTTTGTACATCCTATCCGAATGATGACCCGTTAAGTGCTTTAAAGAATGACAACAACCATGATGTACTTAGACAAGAAGCCCAGGAAAGTTTTTCCCAAATAAGCTCTGGCATCCAGAAAAAGACCTTTAAGTCAGCCATACCTACTGAACAGAAGTGTAACCTTGACATTACCTTTGAATCTGTGCCTAGTTTGAATGACTTTAACCAAAGAGGAAATTCTGATGCTGAATGTAATCCTCATTGTGCTGAATTATACACCAATCATATATCCACTGAAACTGAAATGGCTATAGAGATTGAAAAGAATCCTTTGTCTCCAAATGTTCCAAATGGATCTCAGTTACAGCCCTCTCATCCTGATATACCAATAACTTCATTTGTTTCACTTGGTGGTGAAACTAACAATGAAAACTTAATTCTTTCTGGGAAAGGTTCTCAACTTTTATCCCAAAATACTTCATTAACTGGAAAGCCATCTAAAAAAACTCAATTTTGTGAGAGTTCTAATGATATGATAAGACTTAAAAGTAATTTTCATGGTCCCAAATCATCAGAGTCTGGTGAAATTCACAAGAGTAAAATTGAAATTAATAATTTGTTACCAGTTATGTCACAGTTGTCAGATTGCCAAGATAATTCTTCACTTCAAAGTAAAATATTACCTGTATCTGTTGAAAGTCCAAGTTTAAATATATCTGGACAACAAGTAGAAATTCATCTTGGAGATTCAATTTCTTCAATTAAACAGCCATCTAATGATTCAGCATCTGTTGAGTTAAATCGTACAGAAAATGAAATCCAGCCATCCAAGTCTGAAAATGCACAGGAGCTTTCATCTTCTGTAAAAGAAGACACTATTTTTCTCTCTTTAGGTGGAAATGATAGCTGTGGGGAAGTTGCACTGATGCCTCCAGCAGGTAACCCGATAGAAAACGGTCACTGTCTTCCTTCAGAATCTGTGTGTGCTTCGGTGGGAGATTCTCACTCTGAGTCCCAAAATACTAGCAATAAACCTAGTGACAACTTAACAGAGATAGATACATCAAATATCGTTTCTCTTAAAATTATTATTAGTGACGATCCATTTGTTTCCTCAGATACTGAACTTAACAGTGCTGTTTCTAGTATCAATGGAGAAAACTTGCCAACTATAATTTTGTCTTCTCCTACTAAGTCACCTACCAAAAATGCAGAATTAGTTAAATGCCTGTCTTCAGAAGAAACTGTAGGTGCTATTGTATCTGCTGAAGTAGGGGATTCCACCTCCATGGAACAGAGCCTTTTAGCACTCAAACCTGAAGATGTTACAGTAAACTCCACTCAAAATGAAGATGGCATTGCTTTCTCAACCAATGTTACACCGTGTGTTTCCAAGGATGGAGGATTTATACAGTTGATGCCAGCCACAAGTACAACTTTTGGCAATTCAAATAACATTCTGATAGCTACCTGTGTGACTGATCCCGCAGCTCTAGGAACAACTGTAAGTCAGTCAAATGTAGTGGTGCTGCCTGGAAATCCTGCACCTATGACTCCTCAGCCTCCACCACCTCAGTTACAGACACCACCAAGATCAAACAGTGTATTTGCTGTTAGCCCAGCTGTGTCACCAAGCTTTTCTCAAGGTAACTTTAATAGTATATTGAAGCTTATTGTTCTGGATTGAGATCTAACTTCTTTTGTATGTGAAGTTATTGACTAAGGTAATAAATCATGGATAGATGGTATGAGAAGAGATTCTGAAATTTGTGATTATGCCGCCTCTTTATGCTAATTAATTCAGTTGGACCTTTTTTTAAAGTAAGCCATGGACTTCAGTGGCTTAATTTCTTTTCACAATTACTTCTCAGTTTATGTGCTAATAAGCTGTGAGAAACAGAAAAGAGACTAATTCGTCACATAGCTACATGAGGGGGAACCCCAAAAAATGGAATTTATTTATAAAAAAGTGTGTGTTCTTATATGTTTAAACTTCAGTCACCGTCTAAGTACTCTCCATTTGATGCAGTACACCTAGTGAGACATTTTTCCACTGCTCAAAACAGTTTTTGAACCTGTCAATTTTGATGCCTTTTAGTGCTTCTGCTGTTTTTCGTTTCACCTATTCCACACCGGCAAAACATTTCCCTTTGAGGGCTTTTTCATCTGGGGAAACAAACAAAAAAAAGAGTCACTGAGGACGAGACTGGGTGATAGGGAGGGTGGGACATGAGGATCATGCTGTTTTCGTTCAAAAACTGCTGAGTAATCAGCATGGGCAGGTACATTGTTATGGTGGAAAAATCAGTCATCTGTTTGCAACAAGTCAGGGCTTTTCCTCTGCAGGTCATTTCTCACAACACTAGCTGATGGGTTCCTAGACACTTGCCTAGTGGGGATCGCCTGTACTACAAGGGACCCACCCTCCCACAAAGATAATTCTTGAGTTTTTTTGGGTCCCCCTCGTATTCCTCCTAACATGCAGTGTTGTGGGAGATTTTTATTTAAATAGCCTTGGTAGTCATAGTCTTCAAGGAATTTATCATCTGTTTGGAGAGACTTCCAAGAAAAAGTTGAATTTCTCCCCTTGTTAAAACCTTTTCTCATTTGCACTGTCTTCTACCTTCTAAAATTGGTCACTCTCGCCGGACTCGGTGGCTCAGCCTGTAATCCCGCGCTTTTGGGAGGCTGAGGTGAGTGGATTGCCTGAGCCCGCGGGTTCGAGACCTGCCTGGGCAGGCGAGACCTCATCTCTATAATAAATCACAAAATTAGCCGGGCGTGGTAGCGTGTGCCTGTAATTCCGGCTACTCGGAAGGCTGAGGCTGAAGGATCGCCGGAGCCCAACAGGTCGAGGCTGCGGTGGCTGGGAGCGGCCACTGTACTCCAGTCTGGGCGACAGAGTGAGACTCCAACTCAAAAAATTAAAAAATTAAAAAATTTAAAAAATAAAATTGGTCACTCTCTTCAGAATTCTTTGTTCATAGGGGCTCTTGTGGCATTTTTTGCATGCTGTTTTCTATGTAGTTAGTGATTGATATGCCTGTCGTATTGGTCATTTATGTTGTTTCTCAGAGATAGAGCTTGTGGCACATTCATCTACATTTCCTTATGTGTTGGTTCTCAAACTTGCCTCCTTTCCCCTTTTGTTACGTTAATAGGCATACAATTAATTTTTATTAAATATCAACAAGTATTAAACCTAATGGGTATATTTAAAATGCTGTTACCAATAGATAAAGGAGAGATCAGAATTTATAGAGAATAGGGGCTTCAGATAAAGCATAGAGAAATAAGGTAGAATTTAGAGTTGCAGGAAATCATTGTAGCCAAGAGAATTAGTATCAGCATGAATAGCTATTTAAGAGACCACAATAAGTTGCATGAAAATGAAGGGAACAACCCAACAGTACTTAGTCTACTAGGGACAAAATTCATTAGTAAGGCAGAACTAAATTATGGTAGACTATATTGTTGACCTGTAAGGACCATGTGGGCATTGTAATTCCCCCCCATAGTTTTGTCTGTTTATATAGTTATCTTGACCCTTTTTGGTCAATACCATTGAGAGATATAATAAGTTGGGGTTATGAGCATAGTCTTAGGCTATCAACATTCAGTTGGGATTCTAATTTTCTGATATAAGGTTTAGACTTGAAACATTCACCACTCATTTTCTAATTAGTTTTTTTATTCTTTTTAGAGGAGTCAAGATATAATTGTAATACGATCTCTTGGCTTTACAATCTCGTGCTTGCTCAGGATGGTTTACTATGACTAAATACCATAAGACCACCTTAATGTTTGGATTGACTTATGTTAATTTGTTAGCCTTGCTGTTGTTTCTAAATCGGTTTCTTAAAAGGCAAGTAGATCGTAAAGAACAGAGGTTGTTCACAGAATTTATTTAAAAGTAATAATTATTTTGGTATTTTGTGCCAAAAGAGTTGAGGGGAAATCTTACTATCATGAGAATTTTTTTTTTTTTAGGATCTGCCATAATAATTGCTTCTCCAGTCCAGCCTGTACTCCAAGGAATGGTAGGAATGATCCCAGTGTCTGTGGTTGGACAAAATGGAAATACCTTTTCTGCTCCTCCCCGGCAGGTAAGATTTATGAACTGAAAATGGTATGGTAAACCTTTTCTAACATGGTATAAGTTATGGCTTTTTCTCTTCTAGATCCTTCATATGCCTTTGGCAGCACCCGTATGCAACAGAAGTATTCCTCAATTGCCCGTCCCTCTAAAATCTCAGAAGGCTCAGGGACTAAGAAACAAGACGTGTACAGGTGCCATTTTTAAGTTCATTAATGTTTACTTTATGTCTGTATAGCCATTTGTTTGCAGCAACACTCAAAGATTTCTTTTGAATATCTACCATTTCACCAGCAAGTGATTATCCTTACTTTGCTAGTAAGTGATGTCACAAGGCAGCCGCCTCTATTGTAGCACAGCTTTTATTCTAACAAAAACGGTTACTTTGTTGAATCCTTTAGCTCTAGCCTGCTGGTCCTGGGTTTGTTATTTTCAGCTACTCTAAGTATAATTTCTGCTTTTCCCAACAGCTTTAAAGTATTTAGCATATGTCTTGTATGATTGTATGAGACTTTCGAGTACTTCTCAAATTTGAGTGTGTATATGAACTACATGGGCATCTTGTTAAATGCCTATGCTGAATTAGTAGGACTGGTAGGGCCTGGAATTCCTCGTTCTAACAAGATTCCAAGTAATGCTAGTGCTGCTGGTATTGGAACACACTTTGAGTAGTCAGACTTTAATGTTTGCAAATTACCTTCCTGTGTTTCCTATTTTAGTCAATAGCTCAACCATCCAACTGTTTACTTATGTCAGACTTGAGAGTCCCTCGTAACATACACTTCTCCTTTCTTGGTTCAACTATTCATCCTTTTTCAAATCTAAGTTATAGTAATAGTGTCCTATGGGCTCCTTTCTTGGAATCTCTATTTTTTCAGTTCATCCTAAGCCTACAATCCAAGTGACTTTTTCCAAAATACAAATCTGAATATGGTGCTCTCCTGCCTTAAAACTTTCAGCAGCTCCTCGTTGTCTGCAGGAAAAAGTTGAGATTTTATGCACTTTGTCATCTAGTCATTATCAGCCTCTCCATTGTCATCTCGCCACTTCCTAGCACTTCACTTTGTACCAACCGCTCTTGCTGCTCACCTTGTCCTTGGTCTTTCTTGACTCTGTGCGTTTACCAATGCAACCTCCTCTACCTAAATCCCCCCCCCCCCCCCCCCCCCC